AATCAAGAAAACAGCTGCCAGGGATTGGGTGCTGCCCCTAGCTCCGGGGTGGCTCCTGCTGCTAGCCCGTGGGCTCTGGCTGCTCTCCTGACCTGGCGCAGGGTTTGAGGTTGGGACGTGGCCCCTGCCCCTGACCTGGGCTCTGGCTGCTATCCTGTGACATGGCTCCTGCTGGCCCTAGCGTGGCCCCCCTGGCCGTGACATGGGCATGGCTGCTATCCTGACCTGGCGCAGGGTTTTGGGGGTGGAGCAGGGTTTGAGGCGCGGCCAGTCCTAACATCACTTTCGGAACCAATAAAAAGCTGCCAGGGATTGGGTGGTAGCCCGTGGGCTCTGGCTGCTATCCTGACCTGGCGCAGGGTTTGAGGTTGTAGCACAAGCATAGCACAAGCATACCTCCTCTGACGCGCTCCCCCCTGCTTCGGCAGGGGTCGGCGGATATATATATATATGTTTGGTGGAGCAGCTTGGGATCGGTATTCAGAGTCTTGAGTGTTGCATTTGTCAAAGGTTTGTCCCTTTTCAACTTGAGAAGCTAGAGCTGAGAAGTCTTGAAAGGGAAAGATTTGAGAGTTAGCTAAGTTCACCCCGCTCCTAGGCATGGGCTCAGAGAGAGCCATTCCTCTTGGTTTCACACGTCATACCGATGGAAGGCTGGTCAGAACTTCAAGAAGTACGACAAATCTACACATTTGTAGGACAATACTGGTTGTAGACCTTCCGTTACATGCTTTGTTGAGGTAACAGCCAAAAGTTCTTGTTACATGGATTCATGGTGAGGTGAAGAGTAGACATGCACTCGAACCACGACAGAGGTTCTCAAGCAGAGTCGTCTCACAAAAGCCAGCTGGACTGGCTGCCAAACAGCTTTAAACAAGACCGGTAAAATGAGAAAAGATGAAGCGGTGCAAAGCAGTGTTTTATCGAATCAGATGTTGAGACATTAAGCAAAGGCGTTTCTTTTTTGGTCTTTTGTAGGTTTCACGGCTGCTTATTTGAACTGCTGGCTTTGCTGCAGCCATTGTGAGCTTTTCTGCCCTCATTGAAGACCTTCGACGTTGCGCGCAAGCCTCAGTTGTGTTCCCTCTTTTTGGACTCCTTAGGGGTCCTTAAAGGTTTGCTTGTGTTGTGTGGACCACAAACATACAAGCCACATTGCAAATATATAAAAAAGGCCAAACATCAGCAATAATTTTGTGCTTTTGTGTTGGGGTGACTGAAGCAACACCACCATTACTCTATTCTCAATTTGCAGATGAGAAGGACAAAAGGATCAACTGACGTTCCTCACAAGCTACTCAGCTTGCAAAGGACACGTGTCTCAATATTGCATCAGCAATGATTCCAAGAATTTGGCACGCTGCACTGGCGATGACCTGCTCCAGCTAAATGGTTTGAATCCAAAAAAGTATATGGCAAGCCAATCCTACATTTCAACCACCTGATGATTTCAACTCCGTAGGCAAATGCTGAGAACACACAAGAAAAGAAAAGCTAGGGAAGGACAAACCAATGAGCCCAGCACCAGTTGACGAGCTGAACAAGTCCGCCCCATGCCTGAACGTCGACCCTACCAACCAACGCATTGTCACCTTCGCCGCATTGTCACCTTTGTCGTTGTTTTTTCTCGTGTCGCTGTTCCGACGAGACACACAATGTCTCTCAGTGGATGTCCCGCAATTCATGAAGGTGACCAAAGCACCGCTGACGAGAATTGGATCGCAAGGAAAAACACTGTTATGTTTGTGGAACTTTTCCATTTTGATAGCTCAGCACGGTCTCAGACACCAAGAAAACCACTCAAACTCGAGAAAAGAAAGATTGTCTATTGGTTAAGCAAAAATCTTTAAGAACATAGCATTTGATACTTTTTGGATTGACGATTTGAAGAGGTTGTACGGACCCTCTGAATCCCTCAGAATCACACTTAATTACTGCTACCCCCACCAATTACAGAGGTAAACCAACTGAATCTCCTGATCGCCGCCCAAAGCCGTAGCGATCGCGGAGCCTTTTTGCATGTGTTGTGTCAAAGACACGGCACTGCGGTTTCATTACAGAGTTACACTGCTTTTGCATTGCTCTCAAAGCTCCAGGCCCATCCAAGCCCTTGAGCACAGGCACGACTCAACTGCTATAGCTCACTGGGCGAAAGGGATACATTCGACTTACACAGGTGTCAGATTCGACTTCAACAGTGAGCAAAGATCCGTACATGCATAAGTTGCATAGGCTGCATAGGTATTGAACAAAAGAGGAGCAGGTGCCTAGCAGGCAGTTGAACATGCTCTACAAGTAGAGCGCAACTTAGACTGCCTGGATACCATTTATGGGTCCAGCTGCCACTGGGGGTCTTAGGTTCAATTTACGGATTAACCAATTAACCAAGTAGTTGGCTGCAGGTTGGTAGTTGACTGAGACCGCCCAACAGCCGCACGGCCAAGAGCTCATATTTTATGACAAAAGTATTGCCAGGTCACTTTTCCACTTACCAAGTAAGCCAGGGATTTGGACATGCTTTTCCCTTTGGTGAGGCGGCCCAAGAGAATGTTTCACTTGAAACGCCGTTTCACCGTTTCGGGTTGTTGGATAGGGGTTCCCAACGCGCTGTCCTTCGTTGTCTTGTTTCGTTTGGATGCTCCACCGGTGGATGACTCACCATTCGAGCCAGGCCTAGAGCGATGTCCGAGCCAAGCCTGACGGCCAAGT